ACAAAAGCAAAGATATGGAACCAACTGGGCTTCTCCCACCTTCCCACCTGCCACAGAGGATAGGCCCTAACCACTGCCCTACCCTGCCTCCCGGGATCCTGGCAAGCCAGACTCCAACCATGCCTTTCCATTGTACAGATGGGGAAACTGAGGCCCCGTGGACTCCTCCCTGTGTAAGATGGGAGTGCCTGCCCAGTCCCCTCAATTGGCTGCAGGTACATGCAGCATGCACGCAATGGGGCCCTCCAGGTCTCTTGCGGGGACCACAAGGGGAAATGCTGACATGTTCCCATAATGCACCCCACTGTCCTTGTCATTAAAGTCCAAACTCTTCCCACAGCCCACTGGGTGCTGCCTGACACTGGCCGACTGCTCCGACTTCACTGGCCACCACCCCTTCCTCCCTCCATGCCTGCCCCAGGGCCTTTGCATGCGCTGCTGTCCCCCCTCCTCCATGCTCATCTCAGATCCTCTCAGGGCTGGCCTCTCCCCTGCCTTCCCAGGTCAGCTCAAATGTCACCTCCTGAGCCTGAGTGGCTTCCCTGGACACCCGGACAGCCATCCTTGCATCCCTTTTGTGGTGCAGGCTCATCTTCCCATGTAGCAGCGCGCATCTGAAGTGGTCTGATCCAGTTCTTCTTGGGGCAGCGTCTCCCCCAGGAGGCAGAGATTCTGGGGTTTGTGTTGGTCACTGCCATGTCCCCAGCATCCAGGACAGGGCCAGGCACACAGTGGTGCCTACTATGTACTGGATGAACGAATGAATGAAGGTGAGTCCATGAATAAATGAATGAATGGTGTCTCAGTTCTTCCTCCCACTCTGCCCATGAACGAGGCCTTACCTCCTCCACTGAGACCCCTGGCGCAGCCTGGCCTGGGTGGGTAGGATGGTGTCCGGGTGCTGGATGGGATGTGTGCCGACCGAATGGGGAAACTGAGGCCCGCAGGGGCCTGTAGTGGAGTTGGAAGCCCTGCAGCCCAGACTGCTCCTGCCTCAACCTCCCCTGCTCTGTGTCCTCACCCGGCCCCTCCCCACCCCTCCGGACCTCCATCCTTTGCAAGCAGCAAGCAGAACCCCCCAACCCCAAAGAAGGGGCACAGTGCGGGCGGGGACTGCAGGATCCACTTTATTGCAGGAAGACTACATCTACAGCAAATGCTACACAGACCCCACGCTGGGGGGTGGGGCGCCCACATGCGGAGGGGGGAGGGGCGGGGTGACAGCAAGCATGGCCCAGCCAGCGTCCAGAGAGAACCCTTCTCTCTCCCCAGGGTAGGGGCAGGGCCTGGGGCAGGAGAGGCCTGAGGCCGGCGGGGCCCCAGGGGGATTGTGCTATCAGGGTGTGTCCCTGAGAAAGGGCCCTGTCCAGCCTCACCCTGTCGGCACCTTCAAAGTCCAGAAGCCACTCCCAGGGCAGGGGAGGGGGCCCTGGGCCAGCCAAAGGTTCGGGGGGGCTCAGCTCTGCTCAGTCATGATGTGCGGCTCTCCTGGGGCCCCCTCCACGTGCTGGGTGGCGACTCACACACGCACTCTCTCCCCCAGAGTGTGCGCAGTAAATATGTGTTGAGTTAACAGGGCACAAACACAGAGGAAAATAAACATGCTGACAGCAAGTCAGACATGAACAATCCCTAGCTACAACGTCCCACCTGGCCATGTGACCCCCAGAGCCGCACGCGTGCGACCTCTCTGGCGGGGATGCTGGGATACTCTCTCTCCCTGGCTAGCCTAACTGCCCCATCCCAAGCAACGCCATGGAGATGTCACATGGCAGCTTCCAGCCGACAGCCAGCAAGGAACAGAGGCCGGATAGTCCTACACTGTGAGGATCTCAATGCTGGGACAATCTCGTGAGTTCCGGAAGCATATCCTGCCCCCATCTAGCCTTCAGATGAGACCCTGGCCCAGCCAACGCTTTGATAGAAGCCTCCGGAGACCCCGAGAGGACCCAGCTAACCTGCCTACAGAAATTGCAAGATAATAAATGTGTCTTGTTTGACGTTGCCGCATGTGTGGTAACTTGTTACGTGGCAACAGCTGGCTGATACAGACTTAGGGCCGAGAGTCCCCTTGCTAAGAGTCCCTTGGTCAGAACCAGCAGATTCACAGATACATGCTCTCAGATAAAACACATCACTCACTCCTGAAAATACAGTCACACTCACACGGGTACAAAGATTCACATGGACATGTCACAGAGACCCAGTCCTGTTGACAACCACATGCATGAAGCTGCAGCTACCCACCTCTATGGACACCCTGCCCTGATTGCTACATGCACAGACTGTTGCAAAAAGTGTGCTATCCCGGCGGCAGACACACACAGACACAGACACACCTTTAGATACAAGCCACCCGTCCACGCACCCCGAGCCACACAGGTACACGGTTCCACAGTCATCTCCGTGTCTGTTGACACAGCCCCCTGGGGTCACGTGAGTGTGGAGTGACCCAGAACCTCACAGCTGCAGAGACACCCCCACTCCAGGACGCCACCTTCCTGGGCCCGGCTGGTGGGAGGAAGTGGCTGAACAGGATTCTGCCTGGAGCCCCCCGGATACTGCTGGTGCTGGTCCTGCCCCTGGAGGGGTGTGGTTTGTGTCTCTTATCGGAGGCCCAAGCACCCCCTCCCCAGCACCCAAGACCCCCAACCAGGGCACTGCCAACGTCTCTGTCTCGATGGAGGGGGCGGGTCTCCAGGCGGGGGGTGTCCAGGAGGCCCGTCCGTGCTCACAGCGCCAGGTCCACCTGTGCCTCTCCGGTGGGGCCGTCCTCGCCCGACAGTCCCCGGAGCTGTGCTGTGGCTGTCGGTGGGTCCTGGGCCTCCCTTGGTCTCCGCCCCTGTCCCAGGGGCGAGGTCTGGGGCTGGTGGCGGGGACGCTGCTGCAGGGCCTGTGGTTATTGCCTGGTGGTCTGAGGCCTATCCCGTGGGCCCCACCCCTACCCCAGTGTAGGGACAGGGGCGAGAGGGGGTGTTTGGGGACCTGGGGAAGGGGCACAGGTCAGAGGTCACGATAGATGGGGTGGGGGGTATGTTACACACCAAATGGGAGGAAAGAAAAAAAAAAAATCTGAGGTCGAAGTGTATCTCCACTGCCCCCTCCCCCGGAAGGTCACAGTGATCAAATGTGGCGGGCGGGGCACAGGTCTGGCCAGGGGGGCACTGAGGGAAGAGGACGGAGACGGGGGTCCTCGGGTAGAGATGGAGGAAATGTGCCTCCTCTGCACCTGGCAGGGACAAGCAGCCCCTCCTGCCAGCTCCCCGGTTTTCCCACGTGCAGGATTGGGGGGCTGCCTCCGGCTCTTGGTTTTGGGGGTACAGGTGGAACAGGAGGGCGGGGGTGTGGGGAAAGAGCCCATCTCTGCCGCAGGCTGGCCAGGAGAGAGCCTCGGTTTCCCCAGCTGGAGGAGGGAGGAAGAGGAGGAGGAGGAGGCGGAGGAGGGCGTGGGAGACGGGGAGGCGGCGGGGGCCGGGGACGTCCCGGGCTCACATGAGGGTGCATTTGCCCTTGATGCGGTCTGTCCTCTTCTGCTTGCTGGAGCGCTTGCCGTCGATGCTCAGGCTCATGTTGCGGCGCGTCTCCAGAGTGAGCAGCTCCTGGAAGAGCTCCTTCACGTTGTAGTTCATCTTGGCCGAGGTCTCCATGAAGGCGCACTTCCACTGCTGGGCCACCGCCTGGGCCTCGCGCGTGTCCACCTCCCGCTGCGTCTCGTCGCACTTGTTGCCCACCAGCATGACGGGGATGTCCTCCACGCTGCCTTTGATCTGCACGATGAGCTGGTAGATGGGCCCCAGTTCCTCGAGCGACTGCTTGCTGGTGATGGAGTACACCAGGATGAAGGCGTGGCCCTTGGAGATGGACAGTCGCTGCATGGCAGGGAACTGGTGGCTGCCCGTCGTGTCCGTGATCTGCAGCGTGCACACACTCTTGTCGCAGCTGATCACCTGCCGGTAGGTGTCCTCGATGGTGGGGATGTAGGTGTCGCGGAACGTGCCCTTCACGAAGCGCAGCACCAGCGAGCTCTTGCCCACGCCGCCCGCCCCGAACACCACCACGCGGTAGTCGTTGCTTTGCTCGGGCATCTTCCCCGCGGCGGGTGGGGACGGGGCCGGGAGGGCTGGTGCCGGCTGCTAGAACCCCAGAATGACCCTGTGCGGAGAACAGTGTCAGATGCAAAAGGCCACCTGGCCCTGGGAGGGGACAGCTGGGGACCCTGCTGGGATGGGGTGGGAGGGGCAGCTTCTCAGGGGAGGTGGCGTTCCTTCCTTCTGCGCCCTGAGGCTGACTTTGCAGTTCTGCCCTGCCTGCGGGCTCGCCGCCAGCCCCTGCTGCTTCCCCCTAACAAAATCTGGGCCCCGACTTGCCCAGGGGACTCTGAGCTGGAAGGGGTGTGGGAGACGCTGGCATGTGCACCTAACTCTTGCCCCCGCTGCGTGTGGCCCTTCCAGGCTGCCCCGGCCTCCTCTCTCCCCACAGCTGCACACCTGCCTGGCTCTGAGACCCCTGCCAGCCACCTCGCCACCCTGGGCCTTGGTTCGGTGGGTGAAACAGTGCCCATCCCCAACCACCACAGGCTGCCTGCCCTTTCCCCAGCCCAGAGCTACCTGAACCTCATGGGTCATTTAAAATGTAGATGTCAGGGCTTCAGCCCCAGATGTGATGGATCAGTTGGGCGGGGCCTAGGAATGTGTATTTTAAAGCTGCTCCCCCTACCCCTGCTCTGCTAAATGTGACCCTGATGCTGGGGGTGAGAGAACCAAAATCTGCAAAACATGTTCGTTCCCCAAAGCAGCCCAGGCTGGAGACGAGAAAACAAAAACAGGAACTGAATGGAAAAGTCTCTGCTCCCTAAACTCTGCACCCAAACTGCGAGGCCCGGCACGCCCTGGGGCTGGCATGCAGGTCTGATGTATCCTCAGGAATAGAATCATCTCTCCCCTCTCCTGTGCTCAGAGAGGTCCAGTGGCCTGGGTAGGTCACACAGCACAGCGATTCCTGAGATGATGGAGGTGGGTGGGGAAAGAACCTTGGGCAGGGGGACAGGAGTCCTGTCTCCAGAATCAATGTCCTCCTTTATATAAAGCTGGGGAGACCCCTCCCCTTCCTTCTTCTCAGCCGTGTCTGAGGGCCCTGCAGCCAGGGGGTCTACAGTGGGAGAGAAGGGGCACCAATGTCTACCCGCCTGGCCATCACCTCCCTGCACACTTTGGACAAGGCCCCTCCCCAGGTGTGTGTGTCTGGGGAGGGCCCAGGGGGCGCCCTGGAGCCAGGCAGGAGCTGGTGGTGTGAACCAGAGCAAATCTGTGTCCCCGAGCCTCGGTCTTCTCATCTGTGAAATGTGAGCGGTCACAGTGGCCCCTGCAGTGACAAGGACTGTGATAAGGTAGAGAAAGCCCTTAGGCAGGTGCCTGGCACACAGGAGCCCCCACAGAGATGGACGATCATAACTGCTGTCACCATCCCAAGGGCTCAGGGGACAAAGCACTTAGCCATGCTCGTTGGTTGCAAAGGCACGTTCTGAATTATCAAAGATACCAGATTTGCCAGGAAAAAATAGAATGATAAAGAGTCAGCCGACACATAGCCTGGTTGTTAGGTGCCCCAAACTTCAGGGAGCTTCAACGGCGCTAACCTCACTGAACGGACTGCGGGGTGCGTGCATGACACGCATAGTGAGTCTGGCCCCAGGGAGGCCCGGGTGCAGACCCTGCCCTTTCCTGGGTGGGCACCCCGAGAAGCGGGCGCACTGTGTGTGCTGCCAGACCCTGCAGCAACTAGCCTGGGGACCCGGTGGTGGTGGGATCTGTTGCCCCCGACCCAGCCCTCGCCCTGCTGTGGGTGCTTAGGGCCCCAGCCCCCAGCAGCAGGAGGGTCCACTCGCCGCTGGGTCTGGGATTCCTGCCTAGGAGCCCCCAACTCAACATCCCCCCCACCCCCGTCAGCACCCACCTGGCTCTGTGGGAATCCCACCCCCACCTCCTGCGGGGAGTGGGGGGACGAGGAGGGGAGGGAGAGGGACTGGCTCAAGGTCACAGAGCGGCGGGGTGAGCAGAGCAGGACTTGGAGCCGGCCCTGGGTAGCCACCCTGGCGCGGGGTCTTTCTCTAGAGCCAGGCAGCCCAGCCCGAGATGCCCAGGCCGGGCGGGTCTGCACCAGCCCTGGGTCCCCGGAGCCCAGCGCCACGCTAGGCACAGGGGGGCCGAAGCAACCTCAGGTGCAGGGAAGCAGAAAGCGCTCTGACCCAGGGGAGGGTCTCGGGGAGGGGCCCTGGCCTAGGGTGGGGCGGGGGTCTGATCCAGGATACCTGGCCAAGCAGGGGCTTGGTTGAGGAAGGCCTGCTCCAGGGGCCTCGGAGAGATGGCACA